TCCCTCCCTCCAGGTGTTTTGGATTCCAGCTCCCACCATTCCTCTCAGCCCTATTAGGCCCCTTCCTTTTCCCCCTCGGCCACATAATGGAGGGTAACCAGGCCTGGGCCAACTTGGGCCCTCCCTCCCTCCCGGTGTTTTGGATTCCAGCTCCCACCATTCCTCTCAGCCCTATTAGGCCCCTTCCTTTTCCCCCTCGGCCACATAATGGAGGGTAACCAGGCCTGGGCCAACTTGGGCCCTCCCTCCCTCCCTCCAGGTGTTTTGGATTCCAGCTCCCACCATTCCTCTCAGCCCTATTAGGCCCCTTCCTTTTCCCCCTCGGCCACATAATGGAGGGTAACCAGGCCTGGGCCAACTTGGGCCCTCCCTCCCTCCCTCCAGGTGTTTTGGATTCCAGCTCCCACCATTCCTCTCAGCCCTATTAGGCCCCTTCCTTTTCCCCCTCGGCCACATAATGGAGGGTAACCAGGCCTGGGCCAACTTGGGCCCTCCCTCCCTCCCTCCAGGTGTTTTGGATTCCAGCTCCCACCATTCCTCTCAGCCCTATTAGGCCCCTTCCTTTTCCCCCTCGGCCACATAATGGAGGGTAACCAGGCCTGGGCCAACTTGGGCCCTCCCTCCCTCCAGGTGTTTTGGATTCCAGCTCCCACCATTCCTCTCAGCCCTATTAGGCCCCTTCCTTTTCCCCCTCGGCCACATAATGGAGGGTAACCAGGCCTGGGCCAACTTGGGCCCTCCCTCCCTCCAGGTGTTTTGGATTCCAGCTCCCACCATTCCTCTCAGCCCTATTAGGCCCCTTCCTTTTCCCCCTCGGCCACATAATGGAGGGTAACCAGGCCTGGGCCAACTTGGGCCCTCCCTCCCTCCCTCCAGGTGTTTTGGATTCCAGCTCCCACCATTCCTCTCAGCCCTATTAGGCCCCTTCCTTTTCCCCCTCGGCCACATAATGGAGGGTAACCAGGCCTGGGCCAACTTGGGCCCCCCTCCCTCCCTCCAGGTGTTTTGGATTCCAGCTCCCACCATTCCTCTCAGCCCTATTAGGCCCCTTCCTTTTCCCCCTCGGCCACATAATGGAGGGTAACCAGGCCTGGGCCAACTTGGGCCCTCCCTCCCTCCAGGTGTTTTGGATTCCAGCTCCCACCATTCCTCACAGCCCTATTAGGCCCCTTCCTTTTCCCCTCGGCCACATAATGGAGGGTAACCAGGCCTGGGCCCACTTGGGCCCTCCCTCCCTCCCTCCAGGTGTTTTGGATTCCAGCTCCCACCATTCCTCTCAGCCCTATTAGGCCCCTTCCTTTTCCCCCTCGGCCACATAATGGAGGGTAACCAGGCCTGGGCCAACTTGGGCCCCTCCCCCCCTCCAGGTGTTTTGGATTCCAGCTCCCACCATTCCTCTCAGCCCTATTAGGCCCCTTCCTTTTCCCCCTCGGCCACATAATGGAGGGTAACCAGGCCTGGGCCAACTTGGGCCCTCCCTCCCTCCAGGTGTTTTGGATTCCAGCTCCCACCATTCCTCTCAGCCCTATTAGGCCCCTTCCTTTTCCCCCTCGGCCACATAATGGAGGGTAACCAGGCCTGGGCCAACTTGGGCCCTCCCTCCCTCCCTCCAGGTGTTTTGGATTCCAGCTCCCACCATTCCTCACAGCCTTAGGCCCCTTCCTTTTCCCCCTCGGCCACATAATGGAGGGTAACCAGGCCTGGGCCAACTTGGGCCCTCCCTCCCTCCCTCCAGGTGTTTTTGGATTCCAGCTCCCACCATTCCTCTCAGCCCTATTAGGCCCCTTCCTTTTCCCCCTCGGCCACATAATGGAGGGTAACCAGGCCTGGGCCAACTTGGGCCCTCCCTCCCTCCAGGTGTTTTGGATTCCAGCTCCCACCATTCCTCTCAGCCCTATTAGGCCCCTTCCTTTTCCCCCTCGGCCACATAATGGAGGGTAACCAGGCCTGGGCCAACTTGGGCCCTCCCTCCCTCCCCCAGGTGTTTTGGATTCCAGCTCCCACCATTCCTCTCAGCCCTATTAGGCCCCTTCCTTTTCTCCCTCGGCCACATAATGGAGGGTAACCAGGCCTGGGCCAACTTGGGCCCTCCCTCCCTCCAGGTGTTTTGGATTCCAGCTCCCACCATTCCTCACAGCCCTATTAGGCCCCTTCCTTTTCCCCCTCGGCCACATAATGGAGGGTAACCAGGCCTGGGCCAACTTGGGCCCTCCCTCCCTCCCTCCAGGTGTTTTGGATTCCAGCTCCCACCATTCCTCTCAGCCCTATTAGGCCCCTTCCTTTTCCCCCTCGGCCACATAATGGAGGGTAACCAGGCCTGGGCCAACTTGGGCCCTCCCTCCCCCTCCAGGTGTTTTGGATTCAGCTCCCACCATTCCTCTCAGCCCTATTAGGCCCCTTCCTTTCCCCCCTCGGCCACATAATGGAGGGTAACCAGGCCTGGGCCAACTTGGGCCCTCCCTCCCTCCCTCCAGGTGTTTTGGATTCCAGCTCCCACCATTCCTCTCAGCCCTATTAGGCCCCTTCCTTTTCCCCCTCGGCCACATAATGGAGGGTAACCAGGCCTGGGCCAACTTGGGCCCCTCCCTCCCTCCAGGTGTTTTGGATTCCAGCTCCCACCATTCCTCTCAGCCCTATTAGGCCCCTTCCTTTTCCCCCTCGGCCACATAATGGAGGGTAACCAGGCCTGGGCCAACTTGGGCCCTCCCTCCCTCCCTCCAGGTGTTTTGGATTCCAGCTCCCACCATTCCTCTCAGCCCTATTAGGCCCCTTCCTTTTCCCCCTCGGCCACATAATGGAGGGTAACCAGGCCTGGGCCAACTTGGGCCCTCCCTCCCTCCAGGTGTTTTGGATTCCAGCTCCCACCATTCCTCTCAGCCCTATTAGGCCCCTTCCTTTTCCCCCTCGGCCACATAATGGAGGGTAACCAGGCCTGGGCCAACTTGGGCCCTCCCTCCCTCCCTCCAGGTGTTTTGGATTCCAGCTCCCACCATTCCTCTCAGCCCTATTAGGCCCCTTCCTTTTCCCCCTCGGCCACATAATGGAGGGTAACCAGGCCTGGGCCAACTTGGGCCCTCCCTCCCTCCAGGTGTTTTGGATTCCAGCTCCCACCATTCCTCTCAGCCCTATTAGGCCCCTTCCTTTTCCCCCTCGGCCACATAATGGAGGGTAACCAGGCCTGGGCCAACTTGGGCCCTCCCTCCCTCCCTCCAGGTGTTTTGGATTCCAGCTCCCACCATTCCTCTCAGCCCTATTAGGCCCCTTCCTTTTCCCCCTCGGCCACATAATGGAGGGTAACCAGGCCTGGGCCAACTTGGGCCCTCCCTCCCTCCAGGTGTTTTGGATTCCAGCTCCCACCATTCCTCTCAGCCCTATTAGGCCCCTTCCTTTTCCCCCTCGGCCACATAATGGAGGGTAACCAGGCCTGGGCCAACTTGGGCCCTCCCTCCCCCCCCCCTGTTTTGGATTCCAGCTCCCACCATTCCTCTCAGCCCTATTAGGCCCCTTCCTTTTCCCCCTCGGCCACATAATGGAGGGTAACCAGGCCTGGGCCAACTTGGGCCCTCCCTCCCTCCAGGTGTTTTGGATTCCAGCTCCCACCATTCCTCTCAGCCCTATTCGGCCCCTTCCTTTTCCCCCTCGGCCACATAATGGAGGGTAACCAGGCCTGGGCCAACTTGGGCCCTCCCTCCCTCCAGGTGTTTTGGATTCCAGCTCCCACCATTCCTCTCAGCCCTATTAGGCCCCTTCCTTTTCCCCCTCAGCCACATAATGGAGGGTAACCAGGCCTGGGCCAACTTGGGCCCTCCCTCCCTCCAGGTGTTTTGGATTCCAGCTCCCACCATTCCTCTCAGCCCTATTAGGCCCCTTCCTTTTCCCCCTCGGCCACATAATGGAGGGTAACCAGGCCTGGGCCAACTTGGGCCCTCCCTCCCTCCCTCCAGGTGTTTTGGATTCCAGCTCCCACCATTCCTCTCAGCCCTATTAGGCCCCTTCCTTTTCCCCCTCCGCCACATAATGGAGGGTAACCAGGCCTGGGCCAACTTGGGCCCTCCCTCCTCCAGGTGTTTTGGATTCCAGCTCCCACCATTCCTCTCAGCCCTATTAGGCCCCTTCCTTTCCCCCTCGGCCACATAATGGAGGGTAACCAGGCCTGGGCCAACTTGGGCCCTCCCTCCCTCCCTCCAGGTGTTTTGGATTCCAGCTCCCACCATTCCTCTCAGCCCTATTAGGCCCCTTCCTTTTCTCCCTCGGCCACATAATGGAGGGTAACCAGGCCTGGGCCAACTTGGGCCCTCCCTCCCTCCAGTGCTTTTGGACTCCAACTCCCACCATTCCTCTCAGCCCTATTAGGCCCCTTCCTTTTCCCCCTCGGCCACATAATGGAGGGTAACCAGGCCTGGGCCAACTTGGGCCCTCCCTCCCTCCCTCCAGGTGTTTTTGATTCCAGCTCCCACCATTCCTCTCAGCCCTATTAGGCCCCTTCCTTTTCTCCCTCGGCCACATAATGGAGGGTAACCAGGCCTGGGCCAACTTGGGCCCTCCCCTCCCTCCCTCCAGGTGTTTTGGATTCCAGCTCCCACCATTCCTCTCAGCCCTATTCGGCCCCTTCCTTTTCCCCCTCGGCCACATAATGGAGGGTAACCAGGCCTGGGCCAACTTGGGCCCTCCCTCCCTCCAGGTGTTTTGGATTCCAGCTCCCACCATTCCTCTCAGCCCTATTAGGCCCCTTCCTTTTCCCCCTCGGCCACATAATGGAGGGTAACCAGGCCTGGGCCAACTTGGGCCCTCCCTCCCTCCAGGTGTTTTGGATTCCAGCTCCCATAAATACAGCTGCTTAACCCCATCCTTCAAACTCAAGGCCCGTGGCCTGAATTTGGTCCGCCACATCCTTTTATGTGGCCTGCAAGGTCCTGGGTGCATTTCAGGGGTTGTAGCCACACCTTATGCTGGCATCATCCCCTCTACCAAGTACTGGCTGCATGCTCTGCTTAGCTAATGGGTTTTTCCCCCTTCTCTCCAGCACATGATGATGAGTGCCTGACCCTTCCACAGCTCTGTAGGACTTGGCTGCCCCATTCGCTTGCAGAAGGAGACAGAGCCGTGGTGGGGACAATGCAGCCCATCTGCCACTGCTAAGCGATCGCTGGTAAGGAGAAGGAAGAGGAAGAGGGCATCTGCAGGACCGACAGGTGATGTTGACCAGTGGACTATGCTGCTGAAGCTCCTGCGCAGAGAGATCTAGACCTGCCTATTCCACCAGTATGGGCTCGACCTCAGGGGTCTCATCCTTGTGGTCATCCCTGCCCTGCCTTTTGGAGAGGTAAGCTCAGCCTTGCCAAGTCTTTTTATGAGAATCCAACCTGGCCCTCTTTTTCTTGTCTTCTGTCAAGTTGGAAAGGTTTTGACACCCTTAACATTGGTAGAATGGTCAGGGGGAGAGGCTGAAGAAAGACAGGCTTCCTGTGTTGACTTTCAGTACGGTAGTAGATAATACAGTAAAGCCTGACTTGGGAAAAATGGCATTTTCCTTCAGGTTTTTTATTTATTTATCGTGTCAGGAGCAAACCAAACAGTTGTATTGCATTTTTTAACAAACAAACAGACAAAACACAAAGTTTGCAAGCTTGGTAGTTGATTAAATGTCCTTTGATCAGTATCTGGCCACTTGGAGTGCCTCTGGTGTTACTATAAGAAGATCCTCCCTTGTGCATGTGCAGGGCTCAGGTGGTCAGTGGTTTGCTCTCCTCCATACTCGCACTTCGTGGACTCCACTTTGTGGCCCCATTTCTGAAGGTTGGCTCTGCATCTCGTGGTGCCGGAGCGCAGTCTGTTCAGCGCCTTCCAAGCCACCCAGTTTTCTGTGTGCCCAGGGGGGAGTCTCTCATTTTGTCTCGGCCATTGGTTGAGGTTCTGGGTTTTAGCCTTTGTTCCTTTAGGTCAGGGGTCCTCAAACTAAGGCCCAGGGGCCAGATACGGCCCTCCAAGGTCATTTACCCAGCCTTGCTCAGGGTCAACCTAAGTCTGAAATGACTTGAAAGCACACAACAACAATCCTATCTCATCAGCCAGAAGCAAGCCTACACTTCCCATTGAAATAGTGATAAGTTGATATTTGTTAAAATTGTTCTTCATTTTAATTATTGTGTTGTTTTTAAGTGTTTTTTGCACTACAAATAAGATGTGTGCAGTGTGCACAGGAATTCATTCATGTTTTTTCAAATTATAATCCGGCCCTTCAACAGTTTGAGGGACTGTGCCCTGGCCCCCTGTTTAAACAGTTTGAGGACCCCTGCTTTAGGTGATCCCACTGTAGCTGTGTGTGTGCTTTTATTGGACAGGTGAGGTAAACAGCAACACCCGGAATCACTCACTGAACATCTGAGAAGAGCAAATCAAAAATAAAGAAAGGGGAAAGGCAGATTAGCTTGCCTCACCAGCCACTCAGGCATGTTGGAAATGTTTATACGTTTTGGGTTGCTGTGAGTTTTCCATATGGCTGCCTGGCCATGTTCCAGAAGCATTCTCTCCTGACGTTTCACCCACATCTATGACAGGCATCCTCAGAGGTTGTGAGGTCTGTTGGAAACTCAGCAAGTTAAGTTTATATATCTGTGGAATAATATCCAGGATGGGAGAAAGAACTCTTGTCTGCTCGAGGCAAGTGTGAATGTTGCAATTGGCCACCTTGATTAGCATTGAATGGTCTTGCAGCTTCAAAGCCTGCCACATTGCTGCCTTGGGTCTCATTTGTTGGGAGGTGTTGGCTGGCTCTGATTTATTTTTGTGTGGAATTCCCCGTTGTTTTTTTTTAAGTGTTGCTCTTTTTTTATTAGTTTCCAACAAACCTCATAACCTCTGAGGATGCCTGCCATAGATGTGGGCGAAATGCCAGGAGAGAATGTTTCTGGAACATGGCCAGGCAGCCATATGGAAAACTCACAACAACACATTTATAAGTTTTGTTACCAACATGTAAATCATAAGGAAGGTGGAGGCCATTGAAAGGGAAAAAATAATCCTGGTATGCATTTTAGCGTTAGTTATTAATTAAAGGTTTCATAGAATCATAGAATCAAAGAGTTGGAAGAGACCTCATGGCCATCATCCAGTCCAACCCCGTTCTGCCAAGAAGCAGGAATACTGCATTCAAAGCACCCCTGACAGATGGCCATCCAGCCTCTGTTTCAAAGCTTCCAAAGAAGGAGCCTCCACCACACTCCGGGGCAGAGAGTTCCACTGCTGAACGGCTCTCACAGTCAGGAAGTTCTTCCTCATGTTCAGATGGAATCTCCTCTGAAACATGTTGAATTGCTTATCTTTTTTTGTAGTGTAGGTACTATTCTTTCAATTTTATTGCTCCCTCTGGTATCAAAGTTCCTGTTGAAGAAATAAAGCCCAGGAACACCCCCACTTCATTGACTGAAGTGTATCTGTATTTATTCAAATGTTCAGCTTTCAAAAATTAAATCCTTTGCTACTCAACCCGTCAGTGCTGCCTCAAGAGCTTCTCCTTTTTGTGCAGCCTAGAAATGCTGAATGGGACAACTCGGATATTTAAATGTTTGAAAGGAGGGGTTTCCCTGCAGAGACTACAAGAATTATATTTCAAACTACAAAGACATACAAAGTGTTAAATTGTTATGGTAATTCAGGTTATTTTATTAAATACTAGCTGTCCCCTGCCAGGCGTTGCTGTGGCCCAGTCTGGTGATCTGGAAAATAAAGTAATGAGAAAGTGTTGGTTTCTAATATATGTAATTTCTTTATGCTTGTGTTGATGTGGAGATTGTCTTGTTGGCCAACTCTGGAGCATGCAACATAGAATTGTCCTTGTTTAGAGGTCCCTTTCACATCTATGATACTATATCTGTGTGTGAGAGAGTCATATATATCTCTCTATCTTTATGGCTGGGTGGCTCTTTGTCAGGAGGGCTTTGATTACGTTTTCTTGCCCTGGTGAAGGGAGTTGGACTGGATGGCCTTGAGTATTTTTGGTTGGTCACGGGGGTTCTGTGTGGGAAGTTTGCCCCAATTCTGTCGTTGGTGGGGTTCAGAACACTCTTTGATTGTAGGGGAACTATAAATCCCAGTAACTACATATCCCAAATGTCAAGGTCTATTTCCCCCAAACTCCATCAGTGTTCATATTTGGGTGTATTGAGTTCTTGTGGCAAGTTTGCTCAAGATCCTTCATAGTTTGAGTTTACAGTGCTCTCTGGATGTAGGTGAACTACAACTCCAAAACTCAAGGTCAATGCCCATCAAACCCTTCTGGTGTTTTCTGTTAGTAATGGGAGTTCTGTGTGCCAAGTTTGGTTCAATTCCATCATTGGTGGAGTTCAGAATGCTCTTTGATGGTAGGTGAACTATAAATCCCAGTAACTACAACTCCCAAATGACAAAATCATAATTTTTTGAGTGATGGTCACTCCTTGTGTTGTGAGACATTTTGTTGCCAAATTGGTTGTGATTTCGTTCATTGGTTCTTTTGTTTTTAAGGTACTCATTATGCACAGAGCATTTTCATAGATATAGATGTACAGGATTAATAAGAATCCTGTACAAGAAGCAGCAATAGAAAAGTGCATTCTGAACATGGGATTTTATTTATGTTTGACATGAAACCATCCGCTTTTGACTGCTTTTGTTTTAGACATGAATTATGCAGGACGTGTAAAAGTGCCTTCCGATAATGTTTTCTTCTTTTCCCCGTTTTAGGAACTGGATGAAGCAGGATGCGGAATGGCGGGGCTTTTGTGCCTGAGCTTTGGCCTCAGGAAGTGACTTGTGGGGGGAAGCCAAAATGAAAATGCTTCCTGGCGTCGGGGTGTTTGGGACTGGGAGCACCGCTCGGGTGTTGGTGCCCCTGCTGAGGGCAGAAGGCTTCTCGATTGAGGCTCTGTGGGGGAAAACCGAAGAGGAAGCAAAGCAGCTCGCTGAGGAAATGAACATTTCCTTCTACACCAGTCAAACCGACGATGTTTTGCTGCACCAGGACGTAGATCTGGTTTGCATCCACATCCCGCCACCCCTGACCCGACAAATCGCAGTGAAAGCGCTAGGTACGGCATTCTTGTGGCAGCTTCTTCTGGCTCTTGCTAGAGTCCATCTTTGCTAGATTCCATCTGTTGCTGAATAACTGATACCATGGAATGGAATGCCTTGTTTTGGAGCATATTTCTTGCCTCGAGCTGAGGAATTCTAAAATATTTAGTCATATGACCTGGATACATCACAATATTGTTTCTTCTCTTTTGTAGATTGTGGCTAATAGGTTGGGTGTGTAGCCATATTAAATGGCTTCTGTTTCCCTGTTGCTTGTTAATTTTCCTAAGGAGAAGAGAGGGGTGCCTTTGCTGTGGGTTGTACCCCTCCCCTTTCCTTCAAGGCAGGATCAAGGAAAGACCTTTTCTGCTTCCCATTAAGGCAGGACATTCCCGAAGGCCAATCTTGTCCTGCTTTATCACCAACAGCGGAGCACCTGGTGGCACAATGGGTTAAACCTTTGTACCGGTAGGATTGCTGACTGACAGGTCAGCGGTTTGAATCCAGAGAGAGCAGGTTGAGGTCCCTTTGTCAGCTCCACCTCCCCACGCGGGGACAAGAGAGAAGCCTCCACAAGGATGGTAAGACATTTGAGTAAATGCGGGGGCCCTGGTGGTGCAGCGAGTTGAACTGCTGAACTTGCTGACCAAAAGGTTGGCAGTTCGAATCTGGGGAGCGGGGGGAGCTCCTGCTGTTAGGCCCAGCTTCTGCCAACCTAGCAGTTTGAAAACATGCAAATGTGAGTAGATCAATAGGTACGGCCTTGACGGTAAGATAACGGCATTCCATGCAGTCATGCTGGCCACATGACCTTGGAGGTGTTTACGGACAACGCCGGCTCTTTGGCTTAGAAATGGAGATGAGCACCCCCTCCTAGAGTCGGACACATCTAGGATGTCAGGGGAAACCTTTCCCTTTACTTAAGGGAGCTTAACTTCATTCATTTACTTTCTGCCTTTTACAAGAAGCAGGAATGAAGGTGGCTTGCAAAAATTAAAACAGATACAGTTCAAAAACACAAACTTAAAATATAAACAAAGTTAAAAAGCAATTTCAAAATTTGTAAAACTGAGTAGAAATCTACTAATCATTATCATTGTAATTTCCAAAATTCCACCTAAATCTTAAAGTGGATCTGCGCTGCCAAATAACAGAGTTTCAGATTGCAGATGACATAGAACTACGTTATGTCATCTGTATATGTAGACTCATTTAATCCAATTCAATGCATTTGCATTCTGAAATTGCATTATATAGCAGTCTAGATCCAGCCTTGGTCTATTCAAACCAAACAGGCTGAGAGAAGACATGGTGGCCATGTATCAAGATGTAAAGGAAAGTCACAGGGAGGAGGGAGCAGGCTTGTTTTTTTGCTTCCCTGGAGACGAGGACGCGGAACGATGGCTTCAAACTACAGGAAAGGAGAACCCACATGAACATTAGGTAGAATTCTTAATTGTGAGAGCTGTTCAGCAGTGGAACTCTCTGCCCCGGAGGGAGTGTGATGGAGGCTCTTTCTTTGGAAGGTTTTAAACAGAGGCTGGGTGGCCATCTGTCAGGGGTGATTTGAATGCAATATTCCTGCTTCTTGGCCTAATGGGGCTGGACTGGATCGTCGAGGAGGTCTCTTCCAACTCAAGGACTCTGTGAAATGTGTTCTGGAAGCTCTCCAGAATTTCTCTCCTTTGTCCTGATCCAAGTGAGATAACAACACATCTACTAGAGTAATGGGATCAAAGTCATGGTCCTTGTTTCCTCTTGAAAACTGCATGCACAATACTGCTTCTGCTGGTGCATAATTGGTAAAAAAAAAAAAAAGAAAAAAAATCCCTAGAGTTCTCTGGATCTCCTTTAATTAATCTAAATTAAAGCCTCTTCCTTTTGCAGGGATTGGGAAGAACGTCATTTGTGAAAAAGCGGCTACTTCTGTGGACGCCTTCAGGATGGTCACGGCTGCCAGGTATTATCCCCGACTCATGAGCCTTGTAGGCAATGTCCTGCGATTCCTGCCCGCGTTTGTCAAAATGAAGCAATTAATCGAAGAGCACTATGTGGGCAACGTTCTGGTCTGCGACGTCCGCGTGTACTGGGGAAGCCTCCTCAGCCACAAATACAACTGGATCTGTGATGAGCTGATGGGCGGAGGCGGCCTTCACACCATGGGGACGTACATCGTAGACCTCCTCACTCACCTGACGAACCGCAGGGCGGAGAAGGTCCACGGGTTGCTGAAAACCTTTGTGAAGCAGAACTCGGCCATCAGCGGCATCCGCCATGTCACCAGCGACGACTTTTGTTTCTTCCAGATGCAGATGACCGGCGGCGTTTGTAGCACGGTGACGCTCAACTTCAACATGCCGGGCTCCTTTGTCCACGAAGTTATGATTGTTGGGTCAGCCGGGCGTCTCATTGTGCGCGGAACAGATCTGTACGGCCAGAAGAACACTGCTCCCCACGAAGAGCTTCTGCTTGCAGACTCCATGAATGTCCACGCAGGGCTCTTAGATAAAGGATTCAAGGACATCCCTCTGTTGTATCTGCAAGGGATGGTCTACCTGGTGCAAGCACTTCGCCACTCCTTCCAGGAACAGGAGGACCAGCGGACCTGGGATCCCAAGCCCGTTGCGATGGCCGCTTCCTTTGAAGATGGCCTCTACATGCAGAGTGTGGTCGACGCTATTAAGAAATCCAGCCGGTCTGGAGACTGGGAAATAGTAGAGGTCCTCACGGAGGAGTCAGACACCAATCAAAACCTCTGTGAGGCTCTGCAGCGCAATAACATATAAGAGAAGTATTCCCGAGAGCAGAACCCGGTGGGATTGTGGAGAAATCCAGGTGGGCTTGGTGGGAGGGGGCAGAAAAGGGGCCAGTTGTGCTTATGGGTCACAACAGCCTCTCGCCTTACGTTTTGGTTTTTAAACTCAAGTAGAAAGTTGTAAAGTTAACTCTGAATTGTATATCAGTAGGAAAACTTGAATTGCACTCGGCAGAGCGGGCTCTCTGTCATTCTGGGCAAGTCAGTCTCCCTTCTTCGTATACAGCTAATGTCACCTTGCAGGTTGCATGTGGTGGCACTAGAGATGCACCTGTTTCTAAAAGAAACACAAGGTGTATCTTCTGACATTTCTTGACAGACACTTCCTCCAAGGAATTTTAATGAGGCTAATATTAAAACTTTGTCTTTAAAAGCATTAGAAAGGACAGAAAATGGTTTTTATAGTTTCGCCATGTTAATTTGCACAGATTTTTAGTGAAGTAAACAGGTTTTTGAAGCCAGAGTTTAGATAACTTACTTTCTGGGCAAAACCTTTCTGAATCATCCAGGTAATGTTCTGACTCAAGTCTTGGATGGTGTTTCGTGCCTCTTTCGACCTGCGCCCTGCGCGAGGCTGGTGCTGTTTGCAGAGCAGGTTTTGGTGTGCGCTGGTCGGATCCCGGCCATGTTCTTGGTTTAGGATGAAACTGAGAAGGGTGGCTAACATTGATATTAAATGCATTGTTTACTTGATTTTGTTTATGTTTTCCTACTACGTTTTAATCCTCTTCATTAATATAAAGCATTAATAAGCAACCATTTGTCTTTTCTTGTAAACAATGAATTACTGAGGAGGGGAAATGAAGTCCAGGTCAGAATCAAAAAGACAAGAAATGTGGAAAATGAAGATTTTGTTCCATTTCCCCTTCTGACTTGCTTTCATTCCTTGGCTTGTTTGTTCGTTCAGATTCAACTGCCAAAAACCATGACATCTCTTCACTCCTTCATGGCCCCCCAGAATTCCCTGAGCCCCGGGTTAAGAAGCACTGCTCCAGACCAAGGGAAAGAGGTCATCAGCTCCAAGGCGTATGGCTGCATCATTAGCTCTGTTCTAGATGACTTAAGAGGTTTTAAAAATCATTTTTATTGTGTCAGAAGCGACTTGAGAAATTGCAAGTCGCTTCTGGTGTGAGAGAATTGGCTGTCTGCAGAGACGTTGCCCAGGGGACACCAAGATACGTTACTATCCTTTCGGAGTCTTCTCTCATGTCCCCGCATGGAAAGCTGGAGCTGACAGATGGGAGATCACCCCATCTTGCAGATTCGAAGCGCTGGCCTTCAGGTCAGCAGTTCAGCTGGCACAAGGTTTTAACCCATTGCACCACCACGGCTCCTGATTTAAGATCACATTTGGCTTTAAATCAGAAACAGAGTTCCTAGAAGACCACAAGCTAAACATGTGTGGACAATGTGATGTAGCAGCCCAAAAAAAGCCAATGCAATTTGAGGCTGCATCAACAGGAGTGTAGTGTCCAGACTAAGGGGCGTCCTAGTCCCATTCTACTCCGCTTTGGCCAAACCGCACCAGGAATAGTAATCCTGTGTCCAGCTGTGGTCAAAGCAACAGTCCGTGTGATTCTTCTTAGACCACAAGCTGAACATGAGCCAACAGTGTGATACAGGAGCAAAAAACCCAGTGTGAATCTAGGCCAGGCATGGGCAAGCTTGGACCCCCCCCCCCCCCCCCCCCCCCCCCCCCCTCCCTCCCTCCCTCCAGGTGTTTTGGACTTCAATTCCCACAATTCCTAACAACCTACCTGGAGGGCCCAAGCTTGCCCGTGCCTGGGTTAAAGGGATGGATCTCTTCAGTCCATCTGGCTCTTGTAGGAACAATCACTTCCATTTAGTGCTTGGTAATATTTGGGGTTCTTCATGTGATCTTAATCTTGGAAATTGAGTTGATAATCTGAATTCTTTCAAAATGTGAATACATGGAATTGAATTATTTCACTGAGCTCCTTCATTGATTCCATCTGCGTGTGATTCTCCTTAATGTCAAAGAGCAGAAGGCTTCCTGCAGCCACTCTCCTTACATCTTAGGAACCCTTCGCTTCCTTTTTCACTTCAAAATTATTTGGAGGTTGGCCTCAGGATATATCTGTTGGCGTTCAAGGAGAACTTGAAGAGGTTTCACCGCTCCGCCAGCTGCAAGAGCATATGGACAGTGAGTTGATTCAGGTTCAGCTCAAATCTAGGATGATATTCTCAGTTATGAGGGAAGTTCCTTTTTAGTTGATTACCAGCTGTACCCGCCACGCGTTGCTGTGGCCAACCTTTTCTCCCTCTTTCTCTCCTCCTTTCTTTATCTCCTTCCTTCTTTATATTCATTCTCTCTCCTTTCTTCTCTTCCTCTTCCGTTCCTTCCCCCCTTTTCTTTCCCTTCCTCTTTCTCCCTTTCTTCCTTCTCTACCTATTCTTGGACTGCAGCTCCCAGCAATCCTCCTGATCAGTATATCTACCTACCTATCAATCAATCTATCTCTTATCTTATCTATCTGGAGGATTGCTGGGAGTTGCAGTCCAGGAATAGGAAATGGGAAATATGTCGGGATTGGGATGCTCTCAAAGAAATCCAAGGAGAAGCAAGCTTGCAGCTTGGAAACATTGCATTTGGATCATCCTCTGCTAAAAGGCCTGGTCTAGGGGATGCTGGAAGCTGTAATCCAGAAGAGGATGTGGATATGCTATTGTGTGTTTTGCTTCCCAATTTTTGCACATGCACTGTAGCGTCTTTGGGGTTGCTTTTTTGGCTTTTAAAGTCCCTTCTGCGGTGTTTTTCAGTGTTTTTATGAGTGATGGTCACTTGTTGGAGTGATAGGTGTCTTGTGTCCAAATTTGGTGTCAATTGGTCCAGTTTTTTTTTTTTTTTGAGTTATGGTAATCCCACAAACAAACATTACATTTTCATTGATATAGACTAGCCATCCCCTGCCACGCGTTGCTGTGGCCCAGTCTGTTGATCTGGAAAATAAAGTAACGAGAAAGTGTTAATTTCTAATATATGTAATGTCTTGATGCTTGTGGGTAAACTGTGTTTCTTGTTTTTTCTTTGTCAGTGAGATTGTCTGGTTTTCCTACTCTGGAACATGCAACATATCGTTGTCCTCCTTTGGGGTCCCTTTCAAATCTATGAGACTACATCTCTGTGTGTGTGTGTGAATCATATCTATCTACATCTATGGCTAGGTGGCTCTGTGTCAGGAGGGTTTTGATGACTTTTTTTGCCCTGATGAAGGGCGTTGGATTGGATGGCCTTAGGTATTTTCTGTTGGTTGTGGGGTTCTGTGTGGGAAGTTTGCCCCAATTCTGTCGTTGGTGAGGTTCAGAATGCTCTTTGATTGTAGGTGAACTATAAATCCCAGCAACTACAACTCCCAAATGTCAAGATTTATTTCCCCCACACTCCACCAGTGTTCACATTTGGGCATATGGAGTATCCATGCCAAGTTTGGTCCAGATCCATCATTGTTTTGAGTCCACAGTGCTCTCTAGAGGTAGGTGAACTACAACTCCCAAACTCAAGGTCGATGCCCATGTTGGTCATGGAAGTCCTGTGTGCCATGTTTGGTTCAATTCCATCATTAGTGGAGTTCAGAATGCTCTTTGATTGTAGGTGAACTATAAATCACAGCAACTACAACTCCCAAATGACAAAATCGATTTTTTTTTGAGTGATGGTCACTTCTTGGGTTTTTAGGTGTCTTGTGGCCAAATTTGGCAGCAATATGTCCAGTGGTATTTGAGTTATGTTAATCCCACAATCAAACATGACATTTTTATTTATATAGTTGGAGTAGGCAGAATTCATATTACGAATACCTCTTGTGCCCTACTAGAAAAATCAGCAAAATTATGGATGTTATCCTTGACGTTTTGCCCTTTCTCCTGCTAATTAAACCGATGTGAACTGACACTTGAATATAGTAAGGATTTTATTGAAGAAATACAATAAATAGGGGTAAAAACGGAGGCGCTAAACCAGGCGTATCTCTGTGAGTAGCTCCACGTCCATCTCGGCGTCGCTATTTGTACTGCGGGGATAGCGGCGGGACGAGGTGAGCGGCGCAAACACTGAGCATCTTGTCGATGTCGACTTGAGTGGACTTGTCCACCTCTGGTTTTGGCGCAGTGGCTGAAGTGGCGCTTACGGAGCTTCTCGGTTCTTTGCCTTTGTCATCTGCAACTGGAAATGTAAATAAGAACCGTATGCATGTGTCTTTCTTATGAGTTAGTCTGTAAACGCAGTTGTGTGCCTTTGGATTTGCCTGATTTCTAGTCCCAACACTTTACACCAGGCATAGGCAAGCTTGAGCCCTCCAGGTGTTTTGGACTTCAACTCCCACCATTCCTTAAGCGGCTGAGGGGGAAAAGGAAGGGGCCTGAGGCTGCTAGGAATGGTGGGAGTTGAAGTCCAAAACACCTGGAGGGAAGGCCCAAGTTTACCCATGTCTGCTATACACCAAGCTGCCTTAATACTAACTCACTGGTTGCTTTTTCTACTCTGCCCTACTATTGTGTTTGTGTTCATTTCAGACCCAACCCATCATCATCATCATCATCATCATCATCATTATTATTATTATTATTATCTTTATTTGTACCCCGCTAGCATCTCCCGAAGGACTCGATGCGGCTTACAAATTATTTATTTTATTATTATTTATTATTATTATCTTTATTTGTACCCCGCTAGCATCTCCCGAAGGACTCGATGCGGCTTACACAGGCCGAAGCCTCAGAACACAATAAAGCAAAACATAATACAACAATAAAACAAAGCAAATCAAAATAGTTAAGCAGAATAACAACACTAGTAACAATACATCAGGACAGTTAAAAACTGGGCCGGCCAGAGCAGAGGGTACAGGGTTAAAAGTGCTGAAATGGCAGGAGGAACATAGGATTAAAATAGTGCGGTGTGCAGCAATCTTAATTATACTAAAGTGCTTCTAGGACTTGGGATGGGGAATTCCTAATCTGAGAAGGCACATCGGAACAGCCAAGTTTTTAGGTTCTTTCTAAAAACGGCTAGAGTAGGGGCCTGTCTGAGATCTTTTGGAAGGGCGTTCCAAAGTCGGGGGGCCGCCACAGAAAAGGCCCTGTCCCGTGTCCCCACCA